TGAGCAGGCTCTTAGCTCCTTTAGTGCATCTCTCAGGATAGGTCAAAATCTTGTTGACCCTTGGAAGAATCAGGGACACTTCCTTCTCCAATGACTTCCCATTTTGCAGCTTCCTGTTCTCTAGGATATCATTGGTCTCCCTGATCAGGAGGCCATGTGGTGCAGAGTCACAAGGCCCTTAGAGATTTTCCCTTTTTCCCTGCATCCAAGCTGATTCAGGAGGAAAGAGCCAAATGTTGTCTATATTAAAGACCTAACTTTAGTCAACAAATTTTGGTCTTAAATATTCAGCAATCCAATTTTAGCAGTCTTAAGGTAAGAGTACTGGATTTTACACTTAATGTTTAACTTTGTAGTTATCTTACCTCTTGGATTTAACTGGGTCATATTGGTACTGGAAGTCAGTCTTACACTTTGTCTGTCCAATTGATAATGACTTATTATCTCACATTAACTCAGGTTGTTATATTGAATGTTGTACTTTTGTAAAGCATTAAAAGACAATAGTTATAAAGTTTACAAGAAAATATAAGATGAAACTAATAAGAGTAAAAAAATATTCAGTTTGCATAATGACTATAAAAAAGGAAACATAATTTTTATAATCTCAAAATTTTACTTCAAATTTTAATTTCAAGAATATAAGTTTGATAAAATGCTCTTCTAAGCTTTATATTTAAAAAATGTGTATATTTAAAAGATATGAATATATCTAGTATACAAAGAATCTAGTGTCAGCAACACAGTCACACTGATGTTCTTAAGTTAACCTGGTTCAGCGTTGAAAGAAAAATTAAGAATCTGTAATGTAGTGTAATACTGTGAAATCAAGTTGTTGTTTAGTCAGAGTTGTACAAACACTAATTCCTTTATGATTAGTTTTTCTAAATAATAAAATTTACTAAACACATGAAGTTATTTTGATAAGAGCAAATTATGAAATCTGTGTTACTTCAACACATAGAAGATTAACCTTTGATTTATATCAGTACATTAATATTCAACCTTAGGAAAAAACCTTAAATAACTTTAACTGATAGTTCCTAATTATATATAACCAATTTAGTTACACACAAACTTTTTGAAATTTATCCTCCACAAACCTTCTTCAACTTACTTAAACATTCTACAACTTTTACTTTACCACAAAAGAAAGTTACTTATCCAGAAACTTGTCTTTTTCCTTCTACTTTTCATACTAAAACATATTTACATACCTAGAACCATCTTATATCTCTTTCCTAGTTAATAACTCCTGAAACAAGTTTTATGAAATTACTGAATTTAGACAAATTACTACACTTCAAATAGATGAAATACTTTTATGTTTTTATGGTACATTTCTTGAAACCCAAGTAAAACATTTTGTAGTCTTTATACATAAAATTATACCCGATAAAGTCTTAACTCTTAGTAACCTTGTTTTTAGTAAAAACTCAGAAACAAAGCAATTGTAAGCCATTTCTTATTTACCCACTTATGAAAACACACATGTTTAAACATATTTCCTTATGGAATTTTAAAAGCCAAGAAGATTTTATTTTATACTTAGCAGTTGATATTTTAGCCCTTTAACTTTGCACATTAATCAGATGTTTTCTCTTATACATTTATAATTAATCCCATTGATACTAAATCTAATTTACTCATTTTTAACTGTAAAAACCAAGATATCAGACAACTGTAGTTAATAGCATCAACCATATATATATTCTATTGAATAAAAATCCCAGAAGCAATGGATATTACATTCTAGACATTTTATTGAAACCAACACTCTGTTAGTTATCTGATAGCCTAGAAAACTTGTGAGTTAGTAAATTTAAAGGCATCTTTATTTTTTTTTTGCTTTATATAATTTAAATTAAACTTTCTAAAATGTCACAAGGACTAAAAGGTACTTGGATCCATTTCTTTAAATTTTGATTGATGAGCACTCATTTCTCTATATGCCAATTTTGATACCATGTACATGATATATGGACACACATGCACTTGTGGACACAACAGTATCATATACAGGTGTGCACACACTCATAAAATATACAAGAAACAGAGATGTTTTAGCTCTTTGTAGGTAGATTTCACAGGTAGGAGGCAATGCTACAGATGTTTACTAAGATTCTATTAGATTGAATCTGTTAGTAAAATACAGACTTTTACATTATGACTTAAATTTAGGGCAGGCCTGTAGCTTTGGAAATGCTAGGTATACAGACTGACAGATTTGTTGGGCACTAAAAATCAAGGGATCAGGTCTCACTTATCCTCAATGGCTATCAAATTTATTCTCAGCATCACAATGTCCATGCCCTTCTCAGGATTTTGCAAAGGAGGTTTTCCAATGTCTTTGAAAGCCAAACTTCAAAAAGTTGACTTTGAACAAACCAGAGTGTAAAAACCTTTATGGTTGGATAAAATATGACTGTGCATAAATATATATTAATTTAAGCCCACAGGATCTTAACTGTTGAGAGCAAAGCTCCCATATGAGTATGAGAACACAGAACTTAGATACCTATGCCAGAAAAATATCTACTTTTTTTCCCCCTTTGGAAACATCTCCTTCTATGAGCTTTTGATGGCCAGCCAACCTGGCTCTTACTATGTTGTAGTAGGATCAAATGTAAATTTATGATAAAACCATAAGCTCAAAAAAAAAATTTATGATAAAACCGCAGAGAGAAAACAGAAATTCAAAAAAAAAAAGATGGGGCTATAATTAATCTAATAAAGGAGCATGAAGAATATCTTTATCAGATCAGAGTGTAGTTTTTGTTCAGATTAAAGTCAGTCCAGATTTCTAAGGAGTGCAAGAGTCCTGAAATCCTAAGTTAAAGATTATCAAGGTAAAGAAGGTTTATATACATGAGATCATTTCATTTTTTTTTCTTCCTGTGCTGTAGTGTTTAGGTAGGTACTTGTTAAGAAAGCAGGGCAGTATAATTTAAGAGCATATAAGATAGTCAATAATTTATGCCCTACAGAGGTTTGAATTTAAAAGTGACCTCCTTTATTTACTTTGGTCTCAAACCAGTCCTCTGCAAGCCTTGTAAGTCATGCGCATTCTGTAAGTGTTGGAGCAATAGATGTAAGAAGTTACGAAGAAAGAAGTAAGAAGTAAGATGCAAGAAGTTAAGAAGTAAGGGAAGCTACTATTCTAAACTTGAAAGGCAAAACCCCATATAGAGGACATTTTAACCATTTTTTTGTTTGTTTTTTTGTCAAATCAGTCTCTTAATGTGTGGCCATATAGTTTGTTTCCTGCAGAGATGAGTTTTCATTCCCCAGTTGGTAATCAGGCCAGGTTGGATGCAGAAAGTTATGAGACAATGCCTTTTTCCAACTGTCACTGGGTCTTGTCCTAGGCCTGGCAACAGAAGAAAATAAAGCACTTTTTGAGCATCTATCTCCCAAAGGCAATTTGTACCTTTTATTTTGGAAGACAAAGCTTCTCTCTGAGAAACATGAAAATTCCACTATTTTTCAGTGTGGAGACTAGTGATGAACCTGGCATAACAGTTGAGAGCAAAGCTCCCATCTGAGTATGAGAACATAGAATTTAGGTGCCTATGCCAGAAAGAAATCCACTTTTTTTTTTCCTTTGGAGACATTTCCTTCTGTGAGCTTTTGATGGACAGCCAACCTGGCTCTTACTACATTGTTCTGCCAAATCTATTGCTGGCAACATTGGCAGAATGAACAAGGGTCTTTGTTGTGCCTTATACCAAAGACCCTGGAGAGTTCAGGATTAGAGGAATGACTGACCACTCCTGTTACTTTATACTTCCAAATGTGATAACCCTCAGGGAAAAAAATTACCTACATGGGTCATTCTCTATTTGGTGGGCCAAAGAAATGTCTGGAGGGTAAAGAGGACATCTATTGGTTGTTAGACATTTAATATCCTTTTCTTGGAGGAGTTTATGGAAGGGGTGAATTGAAAATGCCTCACTTGTTCAGCCAGAGAAACTCATGGGAGCACAGAAACACCAGTGGGGAGAATTCATACAGGGGCTACAAAGGCTTAGATTGTAAACAAAGGGAACCCAGGTAGCTCTTTATGAACCATTCCATGTAAAATATCTTTCTCTCAATGGCTAGGGTCTGATCAGTGAAGAGGGGGGAATGCACAGGAGGAATGAGGTTCCATGAGAGGTATATTATTCCCTTTCAAGTGCATAATTCTGAAAGACTGATACTAGGCCCCACCTCTTAAATTTTTTACCTCAACACTGACACACTGAGGACCAATTCTCCATCCTATGAATCTTGAAGGACAAACCGAATCACAACTCACAAGCTCCAACAAAGCCAACATGGTAACAGCAGGATGTCTCAGTCTACAACATGTGTATATGTGGGGATGGAGGGAGGTTGTGCTCAGAAGTCCATGAAAGCAGCCAGAGTCCCCATCCAGGAGCCTCTGTAATATGACTACTTGATAATTCTTTCCTTCCCTACTATTGTCATGGCACTCTGGGTGGCAACACAGAAGAGGTCACTCGTGGCTTCATTTTGCTGAGAAGAGGCCTTGGCCATGGCGTTCTCTAATGACTTGAAGCCCTCCACCCAGTGTCTGGTTGGATGTGCTTGGTTTATCCCAAGTCTCTTTGCCACATTGAATGTGGTGTTGCTGCTGAATATCAGTGGTGTGTTTTTTGCTTTTCCAGGAGTCTTCATGCAAGCTGTCATATTTCTTACAAAGAGAGAGAAGGGAAAACATACAGTGATAATACAGATTCAGGGAAGTGGAGAGAGGGTCAGGAGTGGGAAGAGGATATATAGTTAGAAGCACAGAGGTCTTAGGTGCCTGGTGCATTTAGGGAACTGTGGGAGGCTGGTAATGCTGGTGACATATGGGAAGTCTTCATGGTCTGTCTGTAGCCTGGATATTTAGATCTGTCCTTAAGGTCTCTGAGTCTGACCTCAGGTGATCCAGGCCTCATGGGGGGCTCTGGGTTGCCCCAGACTAGTACTGAGTTTGGCTCTGGTTTCAGATGCAGGTGGCTTGACCTGAACTAGGAGTGCGGCTTTGTCCTGATTACTGGCCTGGTGTTTCTGGTCATTTTCGGCAGCCTCGTATCACTGAACTTCTCTGAACTGGGCATTTTGCATCAAGGTAAGGACTCGGACCCCTGGGAGAAGGAGGTGACACCCTAAGGGCTTACCCCACCTATGGATTAGGAACCCTTCTCTTCATGTCATCAATACTTGGACCCTGGAACTTCATTTCCCAAGCCACTGAGGTGTGAAAAAAACAGAATCCTGGAGATTTTCCAGTTGCTTTAGAAGGGAGAACCGGGAAGATTGACAAGAGCGTCCAGCAGGCTCTTCCGAATCACATGGTTCCCTCTTCCTCCTTCCCATTTCACATAGGACTTCAAGCACTGATAACTATTCCAAAGGATGGAGCTCTATAGCAAGCTCTTGTGGCTGGGAACCCCCCTCTCTTTGACTGCCAGCCCATTGGAGTGGTCAGCCTGCTCAACAGGGATGAAGATTCCCTTGCCCACCTTTTCCCCACTATGTTTTTGGTCAATGATTCTATGGGTAAACATGATGGAAAGGCCTCCTGCCACTGCCCAAACCTCTTCCCATGCCAGGCTTCTTCAAGCTGGACCCTGAGGCAGCATCCTTATGTGACCTGGATATATTGAAGGATCTTTTAAATGCCCTGGTGCCCACATTGCTCCTACCACTGCCCACCCAGGATCTTCCACTGTCATTATTATAACATCTGTGTGGAGGTGAGTACTCCTCTTCTCTGTCCACTCACTAACCCACCATTGGGCACCTGGGTAGGACCAGGAACCTCACAGCTGAAGTGGGCCAGGGGTGGGTATGAGACTGTGTTTCCACACTGATAAAAGTGGCTCCCAGCCCCTCTTAGTCACTTAGATCTGTTATCACCTCTCTCTCTGCACCTGTCCCTAAAGGCTGGCCCTGTTTGCACAGGTGCTAACATGCAAAGGGCATCACATGTGTGCTGAGCCTGGTGGAGTCAGAGGAAGGAAATGCAGCCTCTGTCCCATCCCCTGGCTTGCTGACACTAGATACACAGACCCTTAGGTCAGCTGCCACCCTCTTCTGGGAATCTTTTCCAATTTGGAGGGTTTCCTGGGTTTGAGGGATCTTCTCTCATTTGCACACCCTGCACAGGTTTCCAAGTGCAGAAGGCTGGTTGGGCCAGGGAGTTCTTTCCAGCCTTATCCAGTTTCTGAGAAAATAGAGGTTCAGAGTTATTCTCTATACTGCTCCAAGGCAGGTTTATTTACTAACGACCTCACTCATGATGGGTGACCTGATGAGCTATGGAGTTCTAACTGTGCTCTAACTATAGAAATGCCAGGTTCTCCCTGAGTTGGAAGCCCATGTGTAGGGCCAAGAGAAGGTGTCCAAGAGGACTGCACTGGGGGAGGCCTCAGCATTTGTGGATGATGGAGGCCAGGCCAGATAGAACTTCATGGCCTGTCTCCTCACTCCTGGTAGTTTGATCACCATTGTCAGTGGGTTAACAACTGAGTGGGTCACCACAATATCTGACTGTTCCTGCTGTTGTTCATGTCCCTTTGCTTGTACCTGGGTGTCCTGATGGTGACATGCATCATCTTCCTTGTGCACACCAGAGAAATGCTATTCTCCATCGAAAAAGCCATGGTGTATCCACAAAGCCCCAAGAGCCCACACTGAGAACAGCAAGGTTGTTGAGGAGGGAGGGGCACAAAGTCCAGCAGAGGGATAACTTAGGGTGGGCCTGATGTGGGTGGAGCTAGAGGGAATAACTCCTTAGGAGGACCTGTCAAGGATATGTAGAAGGTGAGTAGGGTTAGGAAGATGGGTGGGGTGGGATGTATTGTGGAGTTGAGAATATAGTGGGGCCATGGAAATGAGTAATGAAGATGGAAAAGAGGCAGGAGGACAGCATGGTGGAGTGAGGTGTCCATGGGTAGAACAGTACTGGGAGAAAGAGTATGTGGGTGAGGTCCTATGGGAGTGGGCCCATGGAGGGCTGAGTAGGGTCAAGGGGTGGTGCCAGTCAGAAACTGTCCTTAAGCTTGGCTTCTTAGCCTCCATACAGTTTCATAGTGGCTGTACCTGCCACTGGTACCCTGCTGCCGCTCATATTAAGGCTGATGTCCAGGCTGTAGTGGTGAGCTCTGCCAGGCACCCCTACAAAGGCCAGGTAAGTGGTGCCCAGTGACTGTGCCAGGATACCTGGCTATGCCGAGGCACCTTACACCTCTGCCACCTAGAAATTTCTGTGCTTTCTCCACTGCCCCTGGCCCTGACTGTGCATTAGTTTTTCCAGATCCACCTCTTAAGATGCAGCTTACATCTCTCCTCCCCCTGGAGCTCGCTGGTCATTCTCCCACCTGGGTGCATTGCTTCGGGAGCCTACCATGTGCTAGGATGCATGTTATTTGAGGGATTGATATAGAGGTGAATATAGACGTGAATAAGTACATCCTGCATTTGTGTTGTTAAGCAACCTGAGATCAGAATAACATCAGCAGACACCCAGGAACAATGCATGAATTTGTGGTTCCTGAGTGGTGCAGCCAACTGAAAGAAACTGAGATTTGGGGGAGGCCTGAATTGTAGAGTAGGACTCTATTTGTCCTAGGTGTGATTGTAGAGAGGGAGAGGACAGGAGGGCATTGCCTGTGAGAGACACATCTATGCAGAAAGGAATGAAAACCCAAAAGTAACATGCAAAGTAAATGGTGGGATATAGCTCTAATTCAAGCACAACGTGGCAAGAACAATGAAGTTCACCCCGAAAATTCACTCTTTTTAGTTTATGGGTAAGAATTTTGCCAAATGGATACCATCCTGTACTCTCCACCATGATCAAGGTTAGACCAGTCTCATTGCTCCAGAAAATTCTTTATTCATCTTCTGATGTTAATTTCTCTTCCTATGTCCTTCTGGTTTTTCTTTTTTTGGGAATCACATATGAATTGGGTCTTTGCCTTTTTAATCTGGCTTCATTCATTTAGTACAATGCATTTTAGATTCATCCATGTGTTGTTCCTATCAGTAGTTTATTTCTTTTTATTTCTGTGTAGTATTATATGGATGCCCTACAGATTATTTATGCATTTACCAGTTGAAGGACTGTTCATTATATCTAGTTATTCCAAAGGGTTGTTTTGTTGTTGTTGTTGTTGTTGTTTGTAGCAGGGATTGAACCCAGTGGTGCTTAAGCACTGAGCTACATCCCCAGCCCCACTGCCCCCTTTATCTTTTCTTTTTCTTTTTGAGTCAGGATCTCACTAAATTGCTCAGGGTGATTTGTACTTGCCATCTTCCAGTTTTAGCCTGCCAAGAAGCTGGGATTCAGGTGTAGGCCACTGTGCACTGGTGTTTTTTCACAATTATAATTAAAACTGCTACAATCATTGGTGTACAGGCATGCGAACATAAGTATTCATTTCTGTTGGCTAAATTCTTAGAATAACATCAATAGACACCCAGGAACACTGCATGAAGTTGTCATTCCTGAGTGGTGCAGCCAACTGAAAGAAACTGATTTTGGCGAGGCCTGCATTGTAGAGTAGGACATGACACTCTATTTATCCTAGGTGTGATTGTAGAGAGGCAGAGGACAGGAGGGCATTGACTGTGAGCGACACATCTGTATAGAAAGGAATGAACACTCAAAAAGTAACATGGTAAGTAAATGGTGAGGATATAGCTCTAATTCAAGCCCAAAGTGGCAAGCGCAATGAAGTTTACCCTGTGGGGGTATTGCTGAGTCATAAGGTAACTGTGGGTGGATCTTTATAGGAAATTGCCAAATTTGTCTTCCAAAACCACTGTACCATTCCAAATTTCTACCAGCAATGAATGATAATTTCAGTTACTCCACATCCTCATCAGCATTTGACACTGTCATTTGTTATTCTGTTTTGTCTTTCATTGTACCCTAATAAATGAGTAATGGTGTCTCAATTAGGCTCCAGGTTGTGTTTTTCTAATGAGTAATGATGTTGAACATCTTTGCAAGTCTTCTTGGCCATTGGCATGTCTTTAGTAAAGTGTTTGCTCCAGTCTTTTGCCCTTTTAAAGAATGGATCGTTTCCTCACCGAATTTTAAGGGTTCTCTATTTTGGATTCACATTTCTGTTCTTCAAATATTTTCTTGTATTCTATGGATTGTCACTTTATTTTCTTCATAGCATCTCCAAAAGAAGCTGAATTTCTTAGGGTTGTTATATTTCCAATATTGGGGATTAAATCAGGGATGTTCTATCATTGAGTGCTATTGCTCATTCTACATGGAAAATCATGTCCTCTGTGAACAACAGTTTCATTACCTTCTTTCCAATCTGTGTATCTTTATTTCTTTTTTTCTTTTTAGTGTTGAATAACAATAATATGAGTGGGTATCTTTGGCATTGGATTCCTTTAGTCTGACAATAACTCTTTCAGGAAGACTGGTGGGCAGCATCGATGGGGGAGAAGGAGCTGCAGATTTGAGACAGCTGAAAAGACAGAGGAGCCTCTCTGCTCATCACTTCCCATACTTCCCACCACACAGCTTCCATATTTGGTTCCTCTCCCACCTGTGACTCCTCTGTTTAGCCCTTATTCATCAGCCCTGTGGTCTGCCTGTCTTCTCCTTCCTCCAACTTCAGTACATCATGTAGTTTGCCTTGCAGCATTTTCCCTTCCTCTATCCTGTGCTTATTCCAGCCCCAGGTCAGGCCATAGGCCACTGACCTTTTTCCTGTGCTCAGAATCAGTTTCTACAATCAAGGAGCCTCAGTCTCAAGAGACCCAAATATGCTCTGCCCTTTGGGATTCACCAGACAGGGCTCTTTTCCATTACTTGCAGCATCCACTTCAGGCTTTCGTTACATGCTTCATTCTGCACAATCCTGACCACTCTGCATGGTTCTCAGGGCCTTGTTTTCCTGCTGGCCTAATCACCTGAAAGAAGGCTGGCTGACTTTTTACAGTGTGTTTTAATTCCCACTGCAGTGACTGAACTTTATTTTTATTTTTTTTGCAACTGGGAATTCAACCCAAGATCACTTTAACACTTAGCTACAACTCCAGTCCCTTCTATTTTTTTTTTTTTTTGAAAAAGGGCCTCACTAAGTTGTAGAGGCTGGTCTTCCACTGCCTTTCTTCTGCTTTAGTCTCCCTAGTCTCTGGGAAGTCAGGCATGTACCACTGTGCCTGGCTTGACTGAGGCATTTTTGATACCCTGAAATATTTCTGGCTGGGGGTGTATCTGAATGGTAGAGCATGTGCTTTGCATACACAAGGCCCTGGCTTCTTTAATCCCCAGAACACAGGGAAAAGAAATCTGAATAAATGAGTGAAGCAATAAACAAAAGAATCAACATTTGGGGATAGAAGGGAACAGAGAGAAGCCTGATGCCCTGAACCCTCTGGCATAAGGAGAAGAAGGAGAGGCAGCAGGAAGTTGGGCAGATGATGGGGCAAGAGGAAGATGCCACTTGGTTTTGGTCCTGTGGAGTGTGAGGGCATTTAAGATACAGAATTGAAGCAGGAGCCTCAGGAGTGGAGTCAGTGAGAGAAGCTGGTTTGGGTGCTTCAGAGCTGTTGGATTTTATTTGTGTCTGATGGGGTTCCATGTGGGGAGAGGAAGGTATTCAAATTTACTGCTTAGATCTTAAAAAAAATTATTAATTATCATTCCTTTAAGGATTTTTCTATACCTTATATACAATCAACATTTTCTATCCTTTATAAATGCCTAATAAAAATTTGTTTTACAAATTTAAAAATTCTGTAATTTTTTTAATGTTTGCCATTATTTTTTTTTTCTGGCATTAGGTCTTGAACTCAGGGGTACTTTACCACTGAACCTACATCTTTTCTTTTGAAAGAAGTTCTCACTAAGTTGCTGAGGGCCTTGCTAAGTTGCTAAGGCTGGCCTTGAACTTGAAATCCTCCTGCCTCAGCCTCCCAATTCACTGGGATTTACAGGCATACACCACTGTACCTGGATGGATATTAGTATCTTAAGTGCTATGAACACATTAAAGGAGGCAGAACCCCAGAGAGCACAGTTGTTCATGTTGCTATTTGGACATGGTTGGACATTCCAGAGCTGTCCCAATGTGGATTTTTTGTTCCTTCTAGTGGAGAATAGTGTTGAAGATCAAAGTCTTCTTACATGTACCATGGGAGACTTGGGCTGTTTAGAGGTGCTGCTGAGCCACTTCTCATTGTGACAGAATATTTGCAAGCTAAACTCTTGAAGCTGAGGTGAGATTCAACCTGGTCTTGGGAGGGGGGGAGTGAAGTTGATGGATGGGGTGTGGGGAAGGAGAAGCTGGAATAAGGGAAAGAAGACAGTCAGTGTCCAAGGGAGGACTTGATCTTTGAGCTTGACCTTTACTGCTTTGTGTACTGAAGGCATTCAGCCCAGATTTTCCTGAGCCATGTGATTCTTGACTAGGAAAATATGATTGGGCATCCCTGTTGCCACTTCTGTTCCAGATAGTGAAATTCAATGAAGGCACGTGTTTAGGAAAAATGAGAGGCGGGAAAGTGAAGTGGGAGTGGGGTGGTGACACTCTTTTTGGAGCAGTTGATCAGCACAAGGAAGATCTTAAAAGGTATCTGGAAGAACTTGGTGGGAGGACATATGTGGCCAATTGAGACAGAACAAAGGTGCTATATAGGGAGGTACAAAGTGATGAAGGTGTCCTGAGAAGGGAGGAGGGGTGGGTACAATATCAGCAGTGTCTGGGGAGAGCTGCTCACAAGTGGATTGAGGGAGGACACAATTCCTAGGAGCCCTGGTAGGCAGGAGGCCCTAGGTCCCTCCTGGGATTCCTGGCCTTGGAATCTTGCTCCAGGCCTGGGTTGAGTCATGGCTTAGCTGACCAACTTGGGGAGGGTCACTGGGAAATGGCCTTGCCCAGACCTTTTGGTTCTGACTTCCTCTTCTCATCGCCATCTCCCTCCAGGGAAGGTTTCTCCAAGGGGACAACTCCTTCGACCAGAGCTATGCCAGGAACTCTTACATCAGCCTCTGTGCACCCCTGGGACCCAAGTGAGTTGGTAAACCAGAGGCTCAACTGTAGACTCTGGGGCTTGTGGGTGGGGTCTTCTTCTCTGCTTCTTTACTTCAGGCCATAGGCCCTAATACTCACTATTCCTTTCCTTTGGGGTTTTCTCCAGGGGGCCCTTGGGAACTTCCCTCTTCTTGCCTTTCTAGGTTCTTGCCCCAAGAAATGAGGTGGAGGGGAATAGGAGCCTGGATGAGGCTTCTAAATGAGAGCCCTGAGCTCTGTGCTTTCCAAACTGAGGGGTGAGAGTGGTCAGGGAGTTCAGCCAAAGTAGGTAGTGATCCCTTACATTTGGCCTGTTACTCCTCAGGTACATGTCAGAAGCTTTTTGGCTCCAGAGAGAAGAGGGGACAAAGTGGGAGTCCATGGAGGCCCTGCTCTCACCCAGGTATTCCCCACTGCACCATCCCACAGACCTCCCTATGCCCAACTCTCAAAATGTGAATTTTGATACACATAGGCAGGGCCTCCCAGGGAGTGGCAAGGTGTAAATTATCTAGGAGGTGAGGAGTAGAGGGTATGTATTGGGAGAGGGGTTTCTGTGTGTTGCCCACTTGTTTGGGGAAACCCCTGAGGTGGGACTGGCCCTGAAGCTGAAGCACTTGGAGCTTTAGAAACAGAATTGTGCACCTGGAGGGATCAGTGTCTGAGTCACAGGGATTCAGAGCACACTCAGGTTTCCCTGGATAGACAAAGAGTTAAGATGGCACTGCTAACTAGCTGGTTTGTCTTGTGCCTGTCCCATAACTTTCCGGGCCTCAGTTTCCTCAGTTATTAATGAGGACTAGACTTGTCCAGTAGTTTATAATGATTTAAAGGAGATTCCTTTTTTATTGAAATTTTTTACTGGAAGTCCCATGTGAAATATATACGTAGCGGAGCATTAGGAGTACATCACCCCTAATGGGTGGGTAACATACACTGCCTACTCAGTGCCCTTTAGTGATTTGTGATGCCAACCAGCTTCTTTGTCCTGCCTTCAGGTACTCAGGGTCTTGATTGTGAGCTGAGGGGTGCAGTTAATCTTCCCATGTACTGACTCTGTTAATCTTCCCATCAGCCCAGTGCTGCAGCAGGAGACCCCATCCCACCCACTGATGCCAAGACATGCACGTGATGCCAGGATGTGAACCCCATATGGAGGCCTTTTGGACCTGAGCCCTCACTCATTCCTCTGTTGGGTGTGCCATGTCCCTCATAACTGTTGAATCCTTATAAAAATTTTCTCTGCTTTTTATCGCTGCCCTACCTGTCTGTTCTAGGTTCAGAGAACCCAGTTTCTTGGGGTTGTGGGGGAGGCTCTGAAGAGCTGGGAAAAATGTCCCCTGGAAAGAAAGAGCATTCCTCTCTGGAGACCCAGGCTCAGAAACCAACACTGTCTGGCTCTTTGACCTTGGGCAAGACACTTAACATTTCTCTCATCCTTAAAATGTAGCAACAGTAATAATCACAGAGACTGATCTCATTGACTTTTTGGCCATGGCTGGATAGGAGAGGAGAGAAAACCCACCAAGTGCAACTCAAATTTTTCTTCAAAATATAAATGGAACTTATTTATAATTAGTTCTAGTTGTGTGTGTACACATGTGTGTATTCTTTAGCATTGTGTGTGTGTCTCTGTGTGAGAAAGAGAAAGGGAAGATTGGGTGTGTGATACTGGGGATCAAATTAAACACAGAGCCTTATGCATGATAGGCAAGCACTCTACCTGTGAGCTATATCCCCAGTCCATTTTTATTTTCAGACACGGTTTTACTAAACTGACCTTCAACTTGTGGTCCTCCTGTCTCAGTCTCCCACACAGCTTCCCAAGGTGTCAGGGGGAGACCAGCTTTGCTAGAGATTGCAGGGCAATATTTGAAAGAAGACACCTGCTCTGAAAAAGAACTTCAGTGTTCTGTAGGGTGCTCCAGTGGTCTGCAGGGCATTTTGAGTTCTTACTAAAATTATGATTGAAGCTTATGGGTCAAGAAACATCCCAGGACTGAAAACAACATGTAAAGTATTCCAAAGAAACATTGCTTGATGCCTACACAGGTTGGGAATAATGTGTTCCTGTTGGCCAAATTGGAAACCTCAGAATTCTTGAAACTGGCTAGAATTCGGAGAGTTCTTGCTTCAGTAATGGAAATTAATTAGCACTAGAGTAAAATTTTTCTGACTCAATCTAACAAATCATAAAAGTAAGACCAAAAAAGATCCAAGAATTCTGACCTTAAGAGCTTTGTAAATAAATCTCAAGAAAATAAAACCATAATGCCTGAAATTCAATAAAAGATTGCCAGGTATTTAAAAAAGAGGTGGGGGCACAGAGAGTTTTCTTTCACATAAATTTTGTTGAATTGCTTGGGTGAAACAAGAAATCAAATATAAAGTAAGTTTAATCTATAACTTGACCCTAGAAAATGCTATAATATTCAGAATAAAGGTTAAAATATGTTGAATGTTCTACCATTTTAAATAACTCTTTTTCTTTGGAAACTCCAGATTAGTAGTATGGCATAAAGATGAAATGTGATAATTTATTGTATTCTTTCATTGGAAAAACAACTTTGCAAGATGAATATCTTGCACTAGTTTCAATCACATGGTTGAATCAAAACATTTTATATTTTTTATGTATTTTGCATTTACATTTGAAATTCTACTTAATAACTGACATGGCTTTCTTTCCAGCATCAGAAAATAATAGAGTGTAGTGTAGTATGGCTAATTAAAGGTCCACGGTTCACTTCACAGAAGAAGAAACATCAATTGTAATTGCAATATATATATGTATATATATATACATATATATATATATATATATATGAACAAATGTTCATCTCTAGCAATTAGAGAAATGCAAATTAAACTACACTTGAGTTTCCATTTCCACTCCAGTCAGAATAGTAATCATCAAGAATATAAGTAACAATAAATGTTGGCAAGGATGTGGAGGAAAATATAGACTCATATATTGCTGATGGGACTGAAAATTCTTGCAACCACTATGGGAAGTAGTATGGACATTCTTTAGAGAACATGTATAGAATCACCATTTGATCCAGTTGTCTCACTCTTCAGTCTATATACAACAGGTACAATCAGCAATACTACAGTGATGCAGCCATATCAATGTTTACAGAAGCTCAATTCACAGTAGCCAAGCTATTGAACCAAGCTCAGTGCCCTTCAACAGATGAATGAATACAGGAAATGTCACATATATTCTCAACAGGGTATTATTCAGCCATTAAGAAGAATGAAATTATGGCATTTGCCGGTAAGCAGATGAAACTGGAGAATATCATGCTCACTGAAATAACTCAGTTCCTAAAAGCCAAAGGTGGAATGTTCTCTCTTATATGCGGATGCCAACAAATAACAAGGGAGGTTATGGAGAGGAAGTATAGAAATTCATTGGATCTAATTTTTTCAAATGAATTTCATGATTGCTTTTTCTATTTCTATAAGGAATGATGTTGGTATCTTAATTGAATCTGTATAGCACTCTAGGTAGTATGGCCATTTTGACAATATTAATTTTGCCTATCCAAGAGCATGGGAGACCTTTCCATCTTCTAAGGTGTTCTTCAATTTCTTTAGTGGTCTGTAGTTTTCATTGTTGATTTCCAACCAAGTTTCTTTCTCTCTTTCTTTTTTTTTGTCTTTGTTGTTGTTTTTGAGGCTATTGTGAATGGAGTAGTTTTCCTAAACTCTCTTTCTCAGGATTCATCGCTGATGTCTAGAAATACATTAGATTTATGGGTATTGATTTTATATCCTGCTACTTTACTGAATTCATTTATTAATTCTAGAAGTTTTCTGGTGAAATTCTTTGGATCCTGTAAATATCCTTTCCTACTCATATCCCTTTAATTTCTTTCATCTAATTGTTCTGGCTAGAGTTTCAAGGACTATGTTGAATAGAAGTGGTGAAAGAGGGCCTCCCTGTCTGGTCTCAGTTTTTAAAAGGAATACTTCCAACATTTCTCCATTTAGAATGATGTTGGCCTTGGGTTTAGCATAGATAGTTTTTGTTGAGGTATATTCCTACTATTCCTAGTTTTTCTAATGTTTTGAACATGAAACAGTGCTGTATTTTTTCAAATGTTTTCTCTACATCAATTGAAATAATTAAATGATTTTTACCTTTAAGTCTATTGATGTGATGAATTGTTTTTATCATTTTGTGTATCTTGCACCAACCTTGCATCCCTGGAATGAATCAAGAAGAGTGAAACAGGAGGCATCACAATACCAGAACTTAAACTATATTACAAAGCTATAGTAAAAAAAATGGCATGGTATTGGAACAAAAATAGATATGTAAACCTATGGTACAAAATAGAAAACACAGAGACAAACCCATATAAATACAGTCTTCTCATACTAGACAAAGGCACCAAAAACATACATTGGAGAAAAGATAGCCTCTTCAACAAATGGTGCTGAGAGAGCTGGAAATACATATGCAACAAAATGAAACTAAACCCCTATGTACAAAACTCAATTCTCAGTGGCTCAAGGACCTAGGAATTAGACCAGAGACCCTGCACCTAATAAAAAAGTAGGCTCAAATCATCACGTCAGATTAGGCCTCAACTTCCTTAACAAGACTCCTAAACCAAAAGAAATAAAACCAACAATAAATGATATGGATTCAAACAAAAAAGCTTCTTCTCAGCAAAAGAAACAATGCCGCCTACTTGGGATCAAATTTTTGTCATACACGTCAGAGCACTAATCTCCAGGATATATAAAGGATTCCAAAAACACCAATTAATAAATAAATAAACAAATGGGCTAAGGAGCTTAATAGACACTTCTCAGAATAAGATATATAATCAACAAATACATGAAAAAATGTTCAACATCTCTAACAATTAGAGAAATGCAAAATAAAACTACGATTTTATCTCGAGTACTCCAGTCGGAATGGCAATTATTAAGAATACAAACAACAATAAGTGTTGACAAGAATGTGGGAGAAAAGGCACACTCATACATTGCTGATGGGATTGAATATTGGTGCAACCACTCTGGAAACTGAGCTAAGTTAGATAATTTATAAGAGAACCAAACTCAGTCTTGAATATCTTGTTTTCCATTCCAAAGACCTCATCATTTTATTTCTTGCAAATTCATACCCAATATTTTCAACTACAAAGATGATATATGAATAGTTCTAAATTTCAAAGAAAAGACAAAAACATTTCACACATATGCTTTCTAATGATTTCTTATACAAATTTTCAAAATATGTTCAGCACACACAGACATAAAAAATATGTAGATGTATACATATATTTTTCAAAAAATGAAAATACTCTATACATACTGTTGTGCATCTTGCTTTCCCCACTTAACATCCAGTCAATTTAATCATAAAAAAAGAAATATATTATCTCATGACTACTATGATTTATGACTTCCATAAAGTGCATAACTGCTTGGAACTTCAATCTACTAAATCTTAGCCAAAGAACAATCAAAAATAAAGATTCAGCTATTGTAATTGTCAGCTGAACACTCCCTGAAAAGATCATCAAATCAAAATGATCACACTAAGCCAAGTTTATGCTCACTGCGCTCCATTAACTTTATAGAGACTTTGTAACAGTTGGAAGGCAGAAATCAAAAGCAAGTAATTTACAAGGTTTTGTTAGATTTAAGGCAGATGACTCAATGTGGAGTCTATTTGGGACAGGGCAACATTTGTGGCATAATTTTTTTAGAATTGATGGACACCTCAGGTCAAGGGTTGAATGGTAGCCATCATTTTGTAAAGTGCCCATTTACCCATATGACAGCAAGTTGAGTAACATATTGTTGGTGCAGATAAATTTACTGAAATTTGAAATAGATTGCCATTTATTAAAATTTATTTCATGTAAGGCTTTTCTGAAATAGAAAAGTTATCTTAATGCAAAGTGCATAATAGAAAAAAATGTTAATATTGATTGTCACTTAGTATATTCATGCTAATGTGAATACATTTATTTGATTATGGAAAGCTTCAATTTTTATAATCAAGTGGTTTAGGTATTAGATTTCATCACTAACAAAAATTCAATAAAATATGGATGTATTCAGCCTTACTATAGTTCTATTTCAGTTCTTTGTTAATGACCTTCTCTAGGATAGCAGTATGTGTACAAATGTTGTACCTGTTTTATTCAGTTGGTGTTGCTCATCATCTAATAATATTCAAAATATAAATGCAAGCCTTAAAAATTTACACAACAATCCAAA